CCCGCCGCTCCCCTTTGCTCCCACCCCCCAGCCGGTGGGAGCTGCAGGGGCAGAGGCTCCAGGTGAGGGTAATTTGGGGACAGCTTCCTGCCATTCACGGTGATGTAGCTAGGGTTGCCAGGTGTCTGGTTTTGAACCGGACAGTCCAGTATTTGAACTTTCTGTTTGGGAGACAAATTGAGAAAATAGAAATGTCCGGTGTGTTGTAAATCAGACGGAATATCGACTGTGATGTCATGTCAAGTGTGTCCGGGATTTTTGTTGAAACCGCCTGACAATCCTAGATGTGGCTCCGGCTCTGGTAGGGGGTGGGGAGGCAGTGCACAGAGCTGCTTCTTCCCCCTCCTCCCACAAGGAAGGGCTGGCCGGGATCACAGGGGCTTTAGTGGCTGCAGCCCAGGAACCTGGGCTAAGATGCCCTCTTTAGCCCAGGGCCCTGGGCTGCATCCCTAATGCCCCTTTCTTAATCCAGCCCTGCAGATTCCCACACCTGACCCCCAGCCAAGAATCCTTCCCTGCCACCCTGGGCCCCCCATTATCTGAAACAGACCAAGCCACCAACGCTGGCCCAAGGCAGGGGACTCCCTTATACCCCAAATTTGGGACACCCCCCCTAGAGCCTACGACCCCCCAAGGCCTAGTCTGAGCCAGGGACCCTCACTGCCAGTTGACCAGAGTGCCCCTGCATGGGCCAGTGTGGGGGGGTGGAATCCCCCAGGATACATATCAGGGCTCACCTAGGCCCCCCAGCATGTGACTCTCACTCTCCACCCCACAGGAAGAGCAGCAACTGGATTGCAGACAAGCGGCGTGAGCCCTCCCGGGAGCAGCAGCGCCCCCTGGCCGAGGGGGCCAGCAGCATTGAGAACCTGCCAGCACTTGTGGGGCAGGATGGGCGCACGCCTGATGGGGGTGAGTGTGGGACCCTTCACCCATTAGGGTCTGGGGTGCAGAGACCAGAACAGGGGAGGGGACCCAGGCTTCCGGGACAGCAATGCAAGATGTTCCCATGCAACACTCTCCCTCCCCTGCCCCACTAATCCCTGCTCCGTCCACAGACTCCAGTGCCCCCGCCTCGCCCGGACCCCTGCGCAAGGCCACCAGTGTGCTCAGCCTGTCTGATGCCCAGCGGGTGCAGCTGCGGCTAACTCGGCGCAAACTGAGCTCCCGTGTCCTGGGCAGCGAGTCCTTTGGGGCTGGGGATGCCACTCCCCGCCAGCGCTTCCTTCCTGGGGGGCTCCCGTGAGGAGGCCACTGCCTCCTGGGAGGCCCAGGAGGGGTCGAGACGCCCCAGTTCTGGCGGCGAGGAGAGAGGTGAGGTGTTGGGGGGTGGGGAGGTGTCATTCCTGGATGGGGGGATAGAGTGTCCCCCAAGGATTGTGGGGGCAGGGACAGGGGAGGCATTACTCCAGATATTGAGTGTTACCCTCATAACCTAAGGGGCAGGAACTGAGGGAGTGTCACCCTCCTATAAAAAGAACATGGGGGAGTCACCCCAGGATAAGAGGAGACATGGGGGGCAGATACTGGTGGGAGGCCAGAGAGCGAGAGTCTGCCCCAACAACCAGAAGAGAGGGGAAGAGGAATGGGGGGTCAGGGAGGGGATTTCCTCTGGAGGAGGGGCTGTTGGAGCACTTGGGGCAGGTGTGACTGGGGGTCCTGTCTCTTCCCAGGGCTACTGCAAGGCAAGGAGAAGGCACCGCTCTCACCCCAGCTCAGCCAGTGAGCTCAGATTGTTCCCGTTGCACCCCAGATGGCAGCGACAGAGGAAACGGAACCAGGAAGGGGTCCTGCGGCAGCCCCTAGTCCCACCATCCTCCAGCCACGTGCCTGGAGCACAGAGGATTGGCTGTTTCAGCTCCCCACCCCCATCCTGCCCTGACACCCTGTCTCTCACAGGCAGAGCTCAGGATTTGTATTGTATTTTTATAATTTATTAGAAATAAAATGTATTATTTATCACCCCGTCGCCTGTCATCATTGTAGCCTCCCCACAATGTGCCTCCTTCCATCCCTTCGCTCCCCTCCCCCTGCCATTTCCTCACTGCCACTCCATGGCTGTCCGTCTCTCCCCTCCACCCGCCTCCCCAGGCACTGTTGGGAGGGAAGGGGTTTCCTCCCAGCTCACCGCGCTCACTCTTGCACCATCAGTTCCTTCCTCTCTCACGGTTACATCACTTTCCTAACTGCAATCCAGGAGCCCCTGTGTTCCCTTCAGTGCTGCATCCTCCTGCTTTGCACCACCTTCCCACTGCACCCCCACTCTGCACCCCCCCCACTGCATCCCCCTGCTCTGCACCACCTCCCCACTGCACCCCCCGCTCTGCACCACCTTCTCACTGCATCCCCCCGCTCTGCATGACCTCCCCCCCGCACCACCCCCACCC